GGGAACAAGGGAGGGTGGGGCTGGGAATACCCTGGAAAGTGGGTGTATCCTCCAGGAAGTGGTTTCGGCTGTTTTCAGAAAGATCAACCAAACGAGACAAAAATGGCCATTTCTATGACCTGGAAGTTCAGTGCAGTACGGGCCCAGCTATGGCATAGTCTGCCTTTCTGAGATAAACCCCTTGACCAAAAGTAACTTGGGAAAGGAAAGGGTTTGTTTCGGCTTACACTTCCAGGTCACAGACTATTCCTGAGGGAAGTCCAGGCAGGAGCCCAGGCAGGAATTAGAGCAGAAACCTTAGAGGAACACTGCTCACTGGCTTGCTCCCAGATGTGGTCAAAGGCCTTTCTTATCAGACCCAGACCCATCTGCCTAGGGATGGTACCACCCACAGTGGCCTGGGCCCTCCCACATCAATTAGCAGTCAAGGAAATCCCCCCCCCAGAGACACACCCACAGGCCAATCTGATGGAGCAGATTTTTCAACGGAGGCACTCTCTTCCCAAGTGTGCAAGTTAACAATCAAGATTAATCACCATAAAGGGTTAACTCTGCCCTGCTTCAGGACACCAGGACTTCCAGGAGCCCAGCTTGCTGATGCTTTATTCCTCTGGTCCAGAATATCACACTGCACCCTGTAGGAAACTAAGGTGGTTCAGTATTGTCACAGCCTCATTTCAGCCTGGGAAGAAGAAGGAAGAATGCAAAGCCAAGGACCAGCAGGAGCCATTTTATACTGTGACCATAAATATAGACTTAAAACACTAAAGTTGTAGTCCCTTATAAAATCTTAACAGATTCTGATTTTGCAGTCATTGCAATACAGCAAAATTTTAATAACATCGTCAGCTACATTTAAATTTTTTCAGTATTAAAAAGAGTTCAGGCACATGTATTTATTCTTTTTTATTTCCAAATTCCTATGTAATTTATTCCCCAACTTCTTTCTCCAGATGGTTAAAAAACGGATACAGAGGGCTGGGGTGTAGCTCGGTTGGTATAATGTTTGCCTAGTGTGCATGTTGTCCCGGGTTGAAGCCTCGGCGCTGATCTAACCAGGCACAGAGGTGCATACCTGCAATCCCAGTACTTGGGAGGTAGGGGAAGGAAGACCATTCTTAGTTGTATATCCAGTTCAAGGCCAGCCTGGACTACAGGAGACTGGGTCTCAAACAGTAAAACCAAGGATTAGAGAGATGGCTCAGAGGTTAAGATCACTGGCTGCTCTTCCAGAGGTCCTGAATTCAATTCCCAGCCTCCACATGGTGGCTCACAACCATCTGTAATGGAATCCCATGCCCTCTTTTGGTGTGCAGATGTACATGTAGACAGAGCACTCATATACGTAAACTACATAAATAAATCTTTAAGAAAGAAGAAAAAAGCAAGACCAGAACAAGCAGAAGAAAGGTAATGGTGGTAGGAACGGAGTCACAAGGGCAGTCGGTCCATACGTAGATTATGGTCTATGAGATAGCTTGAAACAAACACCTGGTTTAAACAGTGACAATGATGATAGGTTTATGAACAAAAAACTGGGGCTGGAGAGATGGCTCAGTGGCTAAGAGCGCTGGCTGCTTTACCCGAGGACCCGGATTCAATTCCCAGCACCTAGATGGCAGCTCACAACCATCTGCAACTCCAGGGGATCTTCTGACACCTTCACAGCAATGAACACAAAATGAATTTTTAAAAAATCAATCCAATTGTCCCTTGTATTTGTTCCTTGTCTGTTGTTGTACGACCAACGCAACATAAGGAGGCATTCATGTTGGCTTATGGTTCCAGAGGGTTTGAATCCATAATGGAATGGCAGAGGAAACCTGCAGGTACGTAGCTGGACTAGGATGCTGAGAGCTCGCATCTTGAACCAGAACCACAAAGCAAGGAGAGAGTGACACGCTGGAAATAGTGTAAGGCCTTTGGAACCTCAAAGCCCACCCCCAATGACACACTTCCTCCAGCAATGCCTAGACCTCCCCAAAGAACCCTACCAACCGGGAACCAAGTGTTCAGATGCCAGAGCCCACGGAAGGGATCTATCTGTCACTTAAGCCAACACATCCCTCTGAGACATCTGAACTAGAAATAGACCAGAGAGGCTAGGCTAGGCGTAGAAGGAGAGGGACAAGCAAAGGCAATCCCACTGTCAGACTGTGAGTCAGCTGCCAAGGTCACCAGCAGGCTGCAGACTCACGGTAATTGACTCTGCAGCACTGCCCCTTTGCGGCGATGTCAGCCAGTTGTCTGTTCTAGCCGGCAAAGGTGACAGAAAGGGCAAGCGAAAGTCAAGGACGGTGAAACGGTCCTCTGGCAAGCCGCCAGCTCCTCAGGCATTAGCATGGAGGTGCTGCAGATGAAGGAGTGTGGGGGCTCCGAGGGGCGAGCATCCCTGCTGACTGAATACGAGGAAGAAATATATCTCATGCATGAGTTCAGAGTTGGTCTATTGGGGCAGCTAGCGCTTAACTATATACCACAGCAACAAAACACTTTGGTGTCTGCAGACTGTAATTACTCTCATGATGGTAGCATGGTAACGTGTAGTTAAAGAGAACCAGTCAGTCAGGAACTCTGTACCTGATGTTTGCCCAAACCCTGGCATCTCCTGCTTCATCTTGTAGGGTAAGTTTTTCACATCTTGCCTCATTTAAGGAAAATTGCATATCCTAAGTCCTTCAACTTAACCACAAGTAACCACTCTTAGAAGTATAAAATAGAGGCCAGAGAGATGGCTCAGTGGGTCAGGGCACTGCCACCAAGCCTGGTGACCTGAGATTGATCCCGTGTACCCACACAGTGGAGAGAAAGAACCGAACCCCAACAAATGGTCCTCTGACCCCCTCACGTGCGCTGTGGCACGCATGTAACACCCGCCCCCTTCCACCTGCACACAAAGGAATCAAACTGGAAAAAAAAAAGTTTAAGTCAAACATATAAGGAAAGGGGTATAAAATGTAGTTTCGAAGATTTGCTTCTTTTATTTTATTTTCTGTGTATGTGTGTTTGCCTCCACTTCTGTGTCCCGTGCTCACAGGAGGTAGAGGTGGTTCCCTGGAGCTAGATGGAGTTACGTGTCATTGTGAGCCATCGGATATGGCTGCTGGAAACCAAATTCAGTCAAGGACAGCAAGAGACCTTCACAGCTAAGCTATCGTTCCGGTCCATAAAATAATTCTTTAAATTAGAAGTTGCTGTTGAGAGAAAAGATTTTTGGTTTTTTGTTTGTTTGTTTGTTTTCCGAGACAGGGTTTCTCTGTGGCTTTGGAGCCTGTGCTGGAATTCGCTCTGTAGACCAGACTGGCCTCAAACTCATGGAGATCCTCTGCCTCTGCCTCCCGAGTGCTGGGATTAAGATGTGTGCCACCACCGTCTGGCTGGAGAGATTTGATTTTTATTTATTTGTTTTATGTAAAGGAGCCACAT